GAATAAAAAATGATCAAAGGACCTAAATAGATATTTTTTTCCAAAGACGACACACAGATGGCCAACAGACACATGAAAAGATGCTCAGCATCACTCAGCATCAGGGAAATGCTGATCAAAACCACAATGAGATACCACCTCACAACTGTCAGAACGGCTAGAATCAAAAAGATAAGAAATAACAAGCGTTGGCGAGGATGTTGGAGCAAAGGGAACCCTCGTGCATTGTTGGTGGGAATGCAAACTGGTGCAGCCACTGTGGAAAACTGTGTGGAGCTTCCTCAAAAAAATTAAAAATAGAATTACCATATGATCTAGTAATCACACCACTGGGTATTTACCCAAAGAAAACAAAAACACTAATTCTAAAAGATATATACATCCCTATGTTTGCTGCAGCATTATTTACAATAGCCAAGACGTGGAAGCAACCCAAGTGTCCATCAATAGATAAATGGATAAAGAGGCGCTGTCTATTTATATATATACCATGGAATATCACTCAGGCACAAAAAAGAATGAGATCTTGCCATTTGTGACAACACAGATGGACCCAGAGGATATTATGCTAAGTGAAGTAAGTCAGAGAGAGAAAGACAAATACTATTTGATTTCACTTATATGTGGAATCTAAAATACAAAGCAAGGGAACACACAAAAAACAGAAACTGACTCATAAATACAGAGAACAGACTGGTGGTTGCCGGAGGGGGGAGGGTGGGGGGAGGGGCAAAATGGGGGAAGGGGAGTGGGAGATGCAGGCTTCCAGTGATGGAGTGAATAAGTCCGGGGGATGCAAGGCACAGCATGGGGAACATGGTCAGCGGTACTGTGGCAGTGTCATACGGTGACAGATGGCACCCACCCTGGGGTGAACATTGCATAACCTATAGTCTTGTCAAGTCACTGTGTTGTCCACCTGAAACGAAGGTGACACCGTGTGTCAACCGTACTTCAATGAAAATGTGCATTCACAATAGTGTGCAACCATCATCACTACAGGATTTTTTTCATTATCTCGAACAGAAACTCTGTACCCATTAAACAGTAAGTCCTTCCCTCTTTCCCCAGCCTTTGGTAACCTCTATTCTACTCCCTGTCTCTATGAATTGGCCTGTTCCGGGTACCTCCCACACGTGGAACTGTACAATATTTGTCCTTGTGTGTCTGGCTTGTTTTATATAATGTTTTCAGGGTCCATCCACGCTGTGGTACCTGTCAGAATTTCCTTCCTAAGGCTGAAGAATATTCCATTGTATGTACATACCACACTTCGTTTATCCATTCATTAGTTGATGGATATTTGTGTTGTTTCTACATTTTGGCTACTATGAATAATGCTGCTAGGAACATTGGTGTATAAATATCCGCTTTTAGTCTGTTTTCAATTCTTTTGAGTATAAGTGGAATTTCTGGATCATATGGTAGTTGTATTTTTAAGTTTTTGAGGGCCCACCAAACTGTTTTCTGCAATGCTAGCAGGTACTTTTCAGGAAAAGGGTTCCATGGTCAGTAGACTTCATCCTCAAACTCTTTCTTAAAGAGTCACAGTGCACTTAGCAGAGTAAAGGCTCTGACAGGTCCTGAAGTAAAGAATCTAAGTAACTTCGATCCACCATCCTCGCAACCAATCTGGCAGTGGAACCCTTTCTTTACCGAGTAACTGGTAAACACACCAGCCTCTGCTGGTTTGGGAAACAGTTCTCTGGGCTCAGCAGGAAGAGCTGGGGCTCAGAGCCAATGCGAAATCACTCAGAGCCCAGAGACAGGGCCCCCTCCAACTCTGCAGCTAGCCCATGGGGCCCCCTTGGCAAGTTGCCTCCTTCTCCGGAGGCTTTGCACCTGCCCTGTGCTCTGCCTGCTCCACCTCTTCTCTGCTTCTTTGCTTCTTGAAGGTTCACTTGGTCTTTAGGACCAGCTCAGGCACCTACTCCTTTTCTCAGGGAACTCTGGCCCTGCTCTCCTGTATCCCCAAGTGGGATTAGAAGCCCCTCTCCTGCTTAGCTCTTATAAAACTGTGTTGTCCTGTTAAATGGCTGCCACTATATCAAGGGGTCAGCGCCACAATTCGTTTGCATAAACCACCATGGGCGAGCTTACTAAAAATGCCGATGCCTCCATCTTACCCTACAAATTCCTACTCGGTAGCTCTGGGGTGTGCACCCCAGGCAATGTTCTTGCGCGGATGATTCTCAGAATGCCCCTGTTGTGAGCTCTGTGAGGATAAGCACCACTTCCTCCTCTGTGTCTTGTACACGATAAATACTGAATGAGTGAACGAATGAATGAGGAAGGAGGGTGTGTAGGCAGGAATGAGTGAAACAGCTGTTTCCTCTTCTGTAAAAGGTGAGGTTGGAAGAGACATTCTCTAAGTTTTCTTGTCGTTAAACTTCTCTTTCTAAAGTTCAGGGTATTTTGCCCAGGAAACTTCATCAGAACCGTACACGATACACAAGCCCAAGCACCTGGAATGACTGGGGAGACCTGCCGAAGAGGATTTAGTCTGCGCTGGTATTGAGCAAATGACCCGGGACTCATGAGTACCCGTGTTCTTGACGCTGTCGATTTTATCGTCAGTTAGAGAGGCGAAGAGCGGCAGACGCTTGTGCCCGGATGAATTCCATCTCATTCTAAGAGCAAGAAGCTGAGAGGCAGCATTGTTAGAGTCAAGAACCCCGAAGTTTGAGGGTTAGGGAGGGAGGCATAGGGGGGACCAGGGGCCGGAGCTGGTGCGGCATCCTCTTTGCTGCTTGGAGGGGGCACAGACCGTTAGCAAGGGTAGAGTGCTCCCACCATTTCCTGGCACAGTCTTTGAACGTAAAAGCCCAACTCTCCCCTCCCCGAGGACCCTGCAGGTTTCGAGGCAGCACCAGCTTCTCCTAAGAGCTATGGCCTGAGAAAAATGAAGTCTCCCATGCCTATAACCTCTCAGCATTTCAGAGGAAATGGTTGGCTAGGGCTGCCAAGAGCCAGCAAATATTTGGTTAGCCTGGAAAGAATGGGTGCTCGTTTTCCAATTCCCACAGACTTCTGCACGCCCAGTTCCTTTTATTAAAAACTTCAAATCCAGAGATAAAGTCGAATGGCACTCCAAGCTCTGAGCATTCATCTGTATCCCGGGGAGCAGGACCCAGAATCTAAACAAAGAAAAGCTTAATCAATAGAACTCATGAATTTCCTCCAGGAAGAGGACCCGGCGCAGTGGAAGGATCGGCAGAGGGTCTGAATTGCAGTTTTCTTCGCGTGGGTGTCTGTGGAAAGTGCTGGAAGACGTGCCTCCTGTCCGCGAGGGTCAGCAAACTACGGCCCACGGGACAAATCCCGCCGGCTGCCTTCCCTTTGTTTTTGTACAGCCTGTGAATTAAGAATGTTTTTGATTTTTTACAGCTTTAAATAGTTGAAATAAATCAAAAGAAGACAAATATTTCATGACATCTGAAAGTTGTGTGAAATTCAAATTTGTGCCCACAAACAGGGTTTTATGAGAACACCGCCACACCCGTTCGTTTGCATGTCATCTGTGGCTGCTTTTGAGCGACAGGACTGAGTGGCTGAGACTGAGACCACATGGCCCTCAAAGCCTAGAACAGGTCCTCTCTGGCCGTTCGCTGAAAAAGTGTGCAGACCCCTGGAGTCGGGGAGGGAAGGCCCGGCTTTCCTTGGTATTTGAACTCAAAGCTAGGAAAAAAATATATATATAGACACACACACACACACACACACACACAGTTAATTATAAAGCAGACACCTGTTTAACCTAACAAGTGGGTCAAGAAATAAAACAGTGCTGGTCAGCACCCCAGAAGTCCTCCGTGTGTCCTTTCTTCCTGACCTCAGTTAATCAGTACCTGGACCTTTGTGATAACATCTTCCTTGTTGTTCTTGATACTTCTACCACCTGAGCTCTGCAAATGAATTACGCTTCCTCATGAACCATATATAAATAGAACACTGTACATTTGCTTTCTTTCGTGTCTTGCTTCTTTCTCTCAACATAGTTTGTGGGACTCAGCTCTGAGCGTGTGTGTGTAACCGCCTTCGCTGCCTGGCCTTTCTCGCTCTGTGACTTCAGCAAAGTTCATCTCTTCATTTTACTGCTGTTGATGGACAGGTGGGGAGTTTCCAGTTTGGGGCCATTGTGAATAGCAATGCTGTGAACATCTTGCATCTGAACCATCGTTGACTTATGCAAGTTTCTCTCTAGAGAGAGAGAGAGAGAGAGAGGCGTGGAACTGTTGGATCGTGGGTTATGTGTATCTTCAACTCTACCAGTTAATGCCAAATTGTTCCCCAAAGACGCTGAACCGGTTCACGCTCCCACCAGCTGCCTCCTTTATTTAAGGAGCAGAGAACTCTCTTGAGTCTTCTCAGCTCTATTTCTATCTTCAAAACCTAAACCACAGGGGTCTGCTGCCTGCCCCTCAGTTCCCTGAAGAGACAGACAAGGTGCATGAGACCCATCATCTCTACTGCTTCATAGCTTAAGTCTTTTAAAAATGTAGCAAATAGACCGTCAATATTCCAAGAATGATTCTTGAGAGAAGATGATCTCTTTCAGGTTCATGTGCGTGGCTCCGGGTCAGCCAGGTACGAGAATGCCCTGACCACCCTCTCCCTACCTAACCGCTCCAGGTCCCGTGTTGGGAGCTGAGGAAGGAAGCTCATCACAGCCAGTGAGTCAAGTGGCCTTCCAAAGCCTGCCGAGTGCATGGCAACCGCCCCTTTCTCCTTCGGGCAATCACAGGACTTCAAAGGTCGGGGTATCAGCTCACGGGAAGCAGACGCTTGTGTCTTTTTCTGCAGGGTTTTAGGAGAACAGGGCCGAAAAGGCCTAACCCCGCATGCCCAGCATGCCCTAAGCCCCTCACCTGAAGGACCAAGCACGTAGTGGCATTTCTGACACATGATGTGGTGGTATTGCATTGAGAAGGGACAAATAAACCCCAAGCGCCAGCACACATTTATCCAGTTTGGGAGGCGGATTAATAGAGTAACCAATAAAACATGTATAAAAGCTTTAATTAAATCTGATGAAATAAAACTTCATGTTTTATTTATGGACACTCCCAACATGTAAAGGATTCGGGGACACATTCATTTTTACTGCCATTTTGTCCTCATATCTATAATTAAATCCAGGCTGCAGCTCTGGCCCAAAGCGATGCGGCATTTTCAAGCTGGCCTTGGACTCGCCCTCCCCCACCCCCATCTGCTTTTAATTGTAATTACCACCCCAATAGGAAGGAGGCTTATGGTAAAACAAAACACAATAATCAAACAAACAAACAAACAAACAAAACCCTGGGTTGTTCCCATTGTGTTTCAGAAGGCCGTGCAGAAGGAGGATTTCAGGGATTTCAGGCAGGTGGGCCGTTTTCTCCAGTTCCAGTTTTATTCTGTACCAAGGGCACAATCCCTTCATTTTACTTTTGACATAAAAAAAAAAAAAGGACTTCATGAAACAAGACAAAATAACTTATGATTATACGAAACATAACTGTGACAAATCACAAAACTATACATATTAATAGAAAAAAAGTGTACCTAATTCTTTAAAAGATTTATGACAATAAGCACCAGATGTGCCCCTAAAGAAAAATCGGCCCCATATCCAGTATGATATATGCAGTTCATTTCTCTACGTGAGTGTATATAACTATGTACAAGAGTCTGTGTGATTTATGGAAACCAGATTTCCACTTTTCCCCCCCAAAGTGCTTTATGTCAGCAACATTACACAGGATGCTCTTCTGTCTGTACAAAATAAATCTCTTCTTTTTTTTACATTCGCCATTTCTCCAATGACTGGTTTTTGGTTTTTTCTTTCTTTTTTTTTTTTTTTGCTTTATCCATTGCAAAAAAAAAAAAAAAAGTAACTGCAGAAACCCCACACCACTAACAAAAAGTGCCATTACAAAATGCTGCTAGAAAACGTCAAGGTCAAACAGTCAAATAAAATACCAAATAATTAAATTGGACATTTGCAGTCGCTATTCCTGATACTTCAAGGCAACTGGACAGTCGAGGTTCTTGGACAGGATAGCTGGACGTTTACCTCTGCTCTAACGTAGTAGTAATGTGCTTGACAGCAGGGAATTTAAAAACAGCACAAGACCACCAACACTCTTGTTTTATCAGTGGGTCCACTGAAGGCCTTTTGTCGGCTTTCGAATCACCTATGCAATCGGGGGAGACAGGGGTAAAGGGGGACACCCCAGAGGACCAGTACATCCTTAAATAATATTCAACAGCTAATCAGCAGCTAAATTACAACGGACATTTTGAGGCGGTGCCTTTAAGGAATTAAGACAATGCAACAAACGAAATGTCTCTAGGCAGACTGATTTTTTTTTAATGTAATAGGATAATTGGCTTGGGCTGTGTGTATTTTCACAAGCACCAGTTTTGTTTTTTTGTTTTTTTGTTTTTTTCTAAAAAGGGGGAATGACAATCTCTGCTCAGATGTTTATGAAAATGGCTGGTTACACAGCAAGACGAAAAAGGCCAGGAAATGGAAGGGAATGAATTCTCTGAAGTTTCTACTTTCACTGCTACACACGATGATGACGCATATATGAATCTCAAGCAATGTGAAAGCCAGCAAGGGACAGATCGGAAGGTCAGGTGAGGTTCTGGAAGCCAAGGACAGCCTGGGCCGTCTCCAAGGAACCTGAGCGTGTCAGGCCCTGAGGGCTGCGCTCAAACCTGCAGCCATCAGGAAACACTGAGGGCCATGTGCGGGGACACGAGCTTGCAGGCTGCACTGGCCCTGCTTGCCCCACGCTCACACCCGTGCCCTTTTCTGCCGAGGAAGGAGGCCCTGCAGTTGTCCCCCCCCCGCCCGCAGCAGTGACGAGAGACGGGCAGGGCCGCTGTGAGGCCACGGTCAGACCAGGCACTGGTGCGGGGGCTTATCCTCCAGCCAAAGAGGAAGACGACCCCACGGTGCCTGAGGTTCGGCTTCTGGCTCTGTCCTCCTCCCCGCTGTCCACTTCAAACTATGTAAAGCCACAAGGCAGGGCTGACGTCACTGCAATCAAAGCAACAACCCCTTGCTTTTCATCTTTTTCCTCCTCGTCACACCAAGTACGAAGTATGTTCTGAGTTCCTCATAAAGGAATTTAAGAACGGACACATTGTCTAACGCTATCGGAGCTTACCTTCCTTTCCGGAGTGGGACACGGGGACACACAGGGGACAGCAGCGCTAGCATGCACGTGTCCTGGTTTACACCAAGTGACAGAACCCACAACGTCTGCAAGGAGGCTGGCATTTACTCGCAGTCTGGGAGCTCGTCTGGCTGGGAAGCCGCAGGAGCCTTGTTTCGTAAAGCAGAGCAGAGTTTTGTAAAGTGAGTAACCTCACTCTTTTGCAGCTCTGGATGCCTGCATGGTGGCCTTTCTCGGATCAGAGCTCACGAGTCAGAGGAAGCGGACTGACCTCGGGCCCTGGAAAAGCGACCCCCACGCGTGGCTCGTTAGTCCCCTCACTCTATGGCACATGGGGATCAAGTCCAGCCCGACTGAGGGGACCTGCCTGTCAGGAGACAAACTGTCCCCGGGTCCCAGGTGTGACACTGTGCTGGTGAACCCTTGTTGGACACTGTAATGATCTCAGTGGGACGAATAGCACTATTTCATTTTACAAGAGGAAAGAAACTGAAATGTGACAGTTCTGGAATGTCAGGCTTTACCCCGTGTCTTTGGGGTGTGGCTACTTTTTAGGATCTACGTGTTGGACTTAAGATCTTTTTAACAGCTTTGTCAATGCATCCCAGAAAGTGGTTTCCTATTCAGGGTTGCTATCAAATGACCAAGAGCTCTGTGAACATTCCAGGCCCTCAAGGAGAGTTTCAGGGAAAAAAGTTAACTTCTTCTGCTTACCTTCCCTGAACTTTCCCTCTACCTGCCTCAGAGCAGACCTTGCGGGGAGGAAGGATGGTCAGGCGAGGGCGGGTGGGTTGTGCCTGACTGCAGACAAGGAGGAGGTGAGAATAATGATGAGGACGGAGAGGACGGTACGGGGGAGGGACAGACCGGGGAGTGGGTATCCGAAAGGAGGTGAGCAGAAGCTACGCAAAAATCACTGGACATTGGGCACCTCTCGTTGGGTTTTCTGAGGGAACCCAGGATCTCAGCTCAGGGGGCCCCTGTTCTCACATCTTCTAGCATGACTCGGCACAGTACCAAGTGGAGGCAATGGGTCAATCAGTCAAGCGATCTTTTCCATGGAATGAGGTCTTCGAGGTGGAGTCACTGAACAGTCAACCCACCAGGGTTTCCGCTATGGCCCTGGGAAGGGGGCTGGGCCCACCCCCTTTCCCTCAGGTGGCTTTCGTGAAATGTGAAACTACTGGGGGGGGGATGCTCACAGGTGCGGTGAGGTGGGGCCAGGCCAAGCTACAGTGGTGGCAAAATGGACGTAAATGGGGTGATTACACTAATTCTTTCCATCCAAAGAACAGACCTCTAAATATTTTTTTTTCCTTTAAAAGTAGATGTAAATAACAAGTCTTTAAAAATAAAAGAACTAAGATAAGTTGCTGGAATATAAAACAAGTCGTAGTGCCTTTCAAGGGACTGTGCTTGACAGAACCTTCTTATTTTGCTTTCAGAGAAATATTGAAAAGCAATTGGTTAGCATGGGCATAGTAAGAGGAAAGAGGCAGCCAGCTCCCCGGGCTGCCAGGCCAGGGCTGGTGCCAGGAGCCAGGGCTTCTCCAGGAGTTGAGCCCAAGCTGTGCTTGGATGTAGGTTTCCCCTGTTGCCTGATTTTGCAGGAGCCAGCGTGGACGGGGAGCAGTGGGGGAGTTCACTGTGCTTCTGGCAGTTTGGGTTGTCCTTCCCTCTTTGGAGTTCTGTGCAAGTGTGATCCCCAGACTCTATGTTCATATATGCATCCTTTCACTGGTGTCCTTTGAGAGCTGACAGCTGGAAGTCACAGGTATCCAGTAGAGTGACTCTAAATTCCCTTTGAAAAGCCAGTCCTGCTGGTCACCAGCAAACCCAGAGGGAAAAAGGAGCAACTGAACACATTCCTGCAAAGCCCGGCTCCGGCCAGTCCTGCCTTCCAGAGACACGTCTGTGCCTCTGCAGGGTCCACCGATGAGGCGAACAACCTTTTCATGCAGTCTCTGAGAATATGAAAATAAAAGGTGGCAAGCGACAAAAAGGTTCTGAGTGCCAGTGGGGGTGGAGGCCAGGGGAGCGTTTAGCCTTCGGTATAAACAGAGGAGAGCTGGCTAGGACAGCGGTCCACGGCGCTGATCTGCAGGAACGTGGCGTCCTCAGGCCCGCTGCGAAGAGACTCCCCGAAGAGGCTTGAGGACCCTGAAGGCAAATCATACACTGGAAGAGAAAGAACGGGAAAGTTAACAATCGCGCCTGGCCACACTCACCGTGTGTGCAGGCAGCAAATGCTGAGGGGCGCCAAGGGCTAGGCCCTTCAGCGGCTCTGTCCTCAGGGACCTCAGTGGGGAGGGAGGTGGACTTGCAGGCAGATGGCCACAATTAGTCTTGGCACAAAATACGGGCTGAGTAGAAGTAAAAGTGTGCTAAGCAAGGGTGAGGATGCCCTCAAAAAGGAGACGATATTAAAGTTGAGTCATAAAGATGGGATTCTCACAGACGGGAGAGGTAAGGAAAGAACGTTCTAGGAGGAAACAGAGCGCAAAGATGGACAGGGAGGGGCTGTGGGGCCAAGTGCCCGGGCCCAGTTCAGGTGCGGCACATGTGGCGAGACCTCTGTGAGGGCGGGCCTACGTGATCGGGCCCATCTCGGGGGGCCTTTACGTTCAGGCGGCTGGAGACCGTCTAAAGTGTTCAAGGAGGGAAGGGGCTTACTTTATCCTTCATTTTTGGAAGGCAATGCTCATGGTAGTATGGGGGGCAGAAGGGTAAAGACAGAGTTGACTCAGGGGCGCCTGGGTGGCTCAGTCG